TAATAAATTTCTGCTTGATAAAGGCATATCAGTCTTCATTCAACACAGTCCAGAAATCAATCCCAGTTTTACAATGCATGACTCCTCATCCTAATCCACATGCAATAGTGCGGCTTTGACCACATGAAGCACGTTCAAGAATATGAGACTAGCTGGTAAATACTGCATTGACACTGTACTGTTTCATGGCCTATTAACAGATATTTCAAGACTTTGCCAAATAGCACTATATTTAAAGTGTGCTATTTAAACATATAGAGTTCCTTTTGACTTAGATGGGCACATACACACCCTCCTTGAATAGTAGTGCTGAAAGGTACACTGTCCACAGTCCCAAAATCCACATCATTTTTGTTCTATATGGAGCACAAGATTGTGGCCTAAAAGAATCAATCCACACACTAGTAAAAATTCATATGCAGAGTAATTTTATATAAATCTTAAGGTACCCAAGTTGAATAGGAGTTCTGAATATCTCAACATTAGTATTAAATGAAGTTGAGAAGAAATAACCAATATTAAAATTACACCTTTGAAAGAGAAGATATTTAGAGTAATTTATATCATAATTTAGCTAGAATTGGCTATAAGTATTTAAACAACAAATCAGTACTTAACAAAGGCATTTTTAACAACCTACTTTTACATTAAGGTTTTCTTTTTCATAAATGCAAAAGAACCTTAAAGAAACTCAGAGAAAGCTGCTGACTCAAAAGCTGGCATGTGACATTCCTTAAAAACTTAGGAGATTCCCACTCTAACCCTTTAAAAATGATGACAAAACTATTGCATTGTTAGCTGGCTTTCAACCAAGCAGCTGCCTTCCAGAAATCCTGTTATAAAGCTGACAAAGAATGCTGTTGCACAGCATTCCTGATCATCATCCAGTTGGAACAGATTTCAATCCAAGAACAGGCTTTAAACTCAATGAACTACAAAGCTTTGGTGGGTACACTGTAGGCTTCCAAACAAACTGAAAACAAGATTACCATAAAGCATCCAATATTTGCAGAGTTTTAAACAACAACCCCCCACCTTTATAAGCATGCCTCATCAATTAAAGTGGGTCTTACCATACCATCTTCTGGTGATACTGGGCTGAAAGGGTGGGAGAGGGATATCAGGCATCTATTCTCGCCTCTAGGCTACTAGCTATTCTCAAAGATGTCAGGAAAAAAAAAGATCAGAGATGTGCAACTTGAGCAGAGAAGTACTTCAAGTCAATTGCACACCGTAATTAAACCTCTGTGGAAGCCTGGCTATATAGCCAACTACAGAAAGCAAGTGAAATTAAATTAATGACTGTAATTTGCAAGAGGAGTCCTGCCGCTTAAGAGCAAGAAGCTTTTAGACAGGTCCAAGTAAAGAAAAAGACGCACAAGGAAAAATAATTGTTTAATTCTATATGTGAACAGGACAATTTACTGAAAGTGGACAGGACAAGTGGAATGGCAACTGGACCACCAAGATGCAGCCTCATGTGTAGATTCTACCAGTTTTCTCTACAGACTGAGCTGTTATTTTATCTTTAATAGTACTTAATATTTAAAAATTGTGGGGAAACATGGGTGGGATGGTGCTGTTGTACTCATGTCCTGCTTGTGGAATTCCAGGATTGGCCACTGTGTGAACAGAATGCTGGACTACACACACCCTTGCTCTGATCTAGCATGGTTCATCTCATGTTCTTACCAACTTCATTACCTTGTATGATTACTCTTTTTTATGAAATTACATCTTACTTATTTTTGCATACTATTCTGCTTAAAATGTAGTATAAATTCTCTTAATGAAAGTATATTAAGCCAACTGCACCTTACACATTCAAGACTAAATAAGCTGCACATCATAGGCACATCCTGAAAATTAATATGGTAGTAATGAAGTTACTTTGATTATGCTTTGAAAACTGTGAAAAATAGATTTTCCCAGGGCAAGGAAAACATCACTCCTTGTAGAAATACACCCATAATACATACTCTGCTTATACCCTGCCACTAAGTTGAAAGAAATTTTCATTTTAGGAATGATTAAGAAACAACTTCTTAAAATACTTGTAAAGCCTTTAGTATTTTTATACCATCTCTTTCAGGCTGCTGCTAACACAAGGTTGATAATGTATGATAGCAATCTGGCAGTTCATTTATGTTTATTTTAAAACTGGTATGCTGCCAAACATGATCCCATGGATCTCTCAGCCTTACTAAATACCATATAATATAAAATCACTATCTGTTTAAAATACAGAAGAGAAGAAGATAACCAACAAAAATTCAAACTCTATCTGGCAGATTGCAGAAATAATGGAATATATGCTCTATTAACAAGGCCTCATCCAATTTTCTCAAAATCTACTAAAACAAAAGATTTTACCAATCATTTAAAATCAAATACCAAGCTAGCTAGGTTGTGAAAGAGGATTTTTGCAACTCAGGAAAGTTCCACTGGATGGCACTGTGAAGATACAATGATAGTAAAGATATATTTCTTCTCTGCCTTCAATAAAATGAACACAGCTGATGTTTCCTCTACCTCAGCTTATCTCATCATTACTGCAACTTTACTGACCTCTACTCCCTGGGATAGCTAACACACTAGAGAAGATACTCCAGTTATCAGGTCTACTACCTTGTCCATTCCTCATTCCAAAAGTCAGCTAGAGTTTTGACAGGTTAGCCCATGAAATTACCTGCAACACCACAAAGCATCTTGACAATCCACTGGATCCACCAAATCTCAGGAGAAGGACAATTGTAATTGCCCTTCCACCCTTCAGGTTTGATATGCTGTCTCCCTAGCATAAGACAACAGAGCAGATATGTCCCACACTTAGAGAGCACTCTATGTTCTCCCATGAACTACCCTGATAATTCACATTTCTACTGAAAGTAACCACAGGCACATAGTAGTTTACACCTCGGTTTTATAAAATAATGCTATAACTCAGATAGATTACAAGACTGAAGTGAAAACTCTTGGCAGTATCAGTAGATATGAACTTCTATTCCATACAAAGCAGCATGAAGTCAAAATTAATTCATTTCCCATTGCATACATAGTCCTTTCGACATGTATACAGCATTATTGTATTCTATGCCAAGAAAAATCTATATACCATGTCATAAATCATTAAGTATAGGATAACTACATTATGCAAATTTTGCCTTTTTCCCTAACAAAGCAAATATTAAAGTCTTAAGAAAACTCAAATTGATGAATTGCAAATATTAAGTTACTGATACTGAGCTAAACCATTTTACCTAGAAAACCATAGAACTACAGCATTTTTTTTTATATTTGCCATGATTTTATCTTTTATCATTTAGTTGTTTTTGTAAGCAATTTCAGAAAATCTTTTTCTGGACTTGGGGCATAAACCTCTGAAATATACTTAAGAGAGCTGTACCAGAGGAAAATTCCAACAGAAAGACCAAATTCTGCATTCACCATAGAGGAAAATGATTTTTAAAATAAAATTAATATATAGAAATATGTACATATTTTTTCATAATCATCCAGCTTTTACAACAAATTGTTAATCTTTAGAGCGCTAAATCAAGATTCCAAACCTTTGTGAACCTGTGGGCAGATCTGAGAAATTTTAGAAGCTGCTGTAGGAACCACAACAAAATGAATCCCATGGAGGGTGCAGCTAGTCAAAAGAGGCTGCTCTACGGATCTGCTGAGACTAGAGGCTGGGAAGAAGGAAACAGCAAGGCAAAAGGCTACCAGGAGTGGGGGGAGAAGCAGGGTAGAAAGGAAGAGAAAGAAGACTATCCTAACATTTTCCAAAGTTTTTCTTGAGACAAGGAGGGAAAAATTTTGTGGGTGTCCTTGAAAGTCCACGTGGAGTGCCACAGTACCCACTTTGTTACAGAATCCTGTCCTAAATATTGTGAGGAGGGATATTGGAGAGGCCACCTTCTCCCGCATGAGCCTAACCAGAGAGTTAGATCAGATGCCAGGATCCATATGTTCTCTTCTTCTGATGTTTGGCCAAGTGGCTGAGGATAGGGCCTTCTCAAGTGCAGAAGTGGGCAGTGAAATTGTGAATCCTCTCCATATGAAGGGTAGCCTCACTGTTTCAGGCACTGAGCAAAGGCAGTATATTTCAGAAGGCTTTTCAGGTCTTGTGACTGTCCTCATTTGAATTTCTTTACTGCTTTCAATAGCTCTATTGTCTTGCAGAGTTACTGCAGATCTGGGGGGTGGGGTATACCAGTTTTAGTCTTTTAGATTGGATTTTAGTGAATATCCATCTTTTGGATTGTTTAATAGAAAGGCAAGCATAGAGTGTCTGAATGAGTGTTTTGTTCATCTAATATACAAAGAAGAAATGTCTCTTTAAATTCATCTTTCAGGGATCATTTGTTCATGCAAAGAGAAAGTTTATCACCTCTACCTTTGGGATATTTGTTTGTCTAAAATAATGTGTGAAATTTGTACAATTTACAGGTGAAATCTTATCAAGGGAAGGGAAAGAAAGAAAGAAAAATAAAAGAAACACCATCTTAAAGTCAGGTAGTACCACTGAATACTTGATCTTCATTTTAAGTGTGCCACTCAAGAAAAGTGAATCACAGCTACTGATGGAATTAAATAACCTGCTCTGTTCACATATACTGAATGATTTTTGCATAAATTAAAGTCTACAATCTATATGCAGCCCTCCAGCATAATACATTCTCCATGTGTAAGAGAGAGATAAGATTTCTCAAACCTATATTCACGTTGCAAGAATAAATATATTTTACAGTGATGAACACCAAAATTATTAAATATACAAACTCTGGAATACAGAAGTTTCAGGACTCTTCAGTGTATCTGAAGATTTATAGATAGGGCCCTAGGTCTCCACCATCACTACCCATGTGTTCCAATTTAATTCAGTCCAATTAAACTGACAGTACTACAAACAAGGGGACAAGAGCTGTTATTTAGTAAGCAATATTCTTTCATTACATAGATTAAAGAAAGATTTTTAAAAGATTAAAACTTACCCCCATTATCAGTCCTCTTTAGAGCACCATCCTTGTGAGGGCATAATTCACATCTCTACAGAAAGGCAAAGACAAGTATGAACAACAACAAAACTCAGAACAAATGTAATGTACCTACTATTAAAATATTTTCATGTACTTCACAGTTTGCAATTTGTGAGAAAACAGGCAAATATAAGAATGTTATTTTACATTAAAAAACACTTAAGCCTTAAATCAGGGTTGAACAGATCTACTTGGGTTATTTTTTAACTAGAACTCCAATCCAGGTACAACTGTTACACACTTAAAATTATATAACTGGATTCTTATGAGCAAATTTTTAGCCCTCTGACCTCTGTGTCAGAACTGAACTCACAATGTCTACTCCTATTTAGCCCAAGCTCCCTTTATTTCAGCAGCCTGATCTGAGTGGGAAAAATAATTTTGTTGCCGTTGTTTAACAACTGTGAAACTCTTGTTACTTACTGCAAATCACATAAATCTTTAAGTAGATTCTAATCTACCTTCCATTCAGTCCTACCGTAAATCAAAGCTCAAGAGCATGGGTCCTCAAACTACGGCCTGCGGGCTGAATCTGGTCCGCCATGCACATTTATCCAGGCCGCCTGAGAGGTTTTGGACTCGCAGCGCCCGCAGCCGCCCCACATGTGCCTGCAACCGCCTCTCCCTGCGCACAGGGAGGCGGCGGTGGCTTGCTCGCGCAGAGATCGTTTTGATCATTTTCTCACTCTGAGAAAATGATATCCGAGTGAGCAAGCCGCTGCCTTGCACGCCAGCCCCCGCCTTGCTGCGCATGCCCGCACATGCCTCGCCTCCTCTCGCACACGCCCACCACCTCGTGTTGCCCATGTGCACCGCTGGCACCTTTCAACTGGCTCCCTGTTGAAAAAGTTTGAGGACCCCTGCTCAAGAGTCAGGCATTTCTCTTTCATAGTCAGTACGACATTCTATTCCCACTCGGCCATGAAACTCAATGGGTGACTTTGGGCCTGTCATTGCTCTCAGACTAACCAATCTCACACAAAAATGGAATGGAAGAGAGCATTGTAAGCTAATTTGGGTTCCTTGCAAGAGGAAGAAAGGCAGAGTATAAATGTAAAGTGCTACTACTACTAATAATAATAATAACAACAACAACAACAACAACAACAACAACAACAACAACAACAATAGGTGCTAGTTCCTATATAATTTCTGGTTCCTTTATAAACAGTTTTGGATACACAAGAGGAGGAGACATTCAAGAGGCAGCTGGACAGTCATCTGTTGGGAATGCTTTAACTTAAAATCCTGCACTGCACTGAGCAGGGAGCTGGGCTCAAAGGCCTTGTAGGTGCCTTCCAACTCTACTAATCTATGATTCCAAGGGGGGAACGGAGTATATAAATGTAATATATAAAAATAATACTTCAGAATCCTACTTTCCACATGACAGACAAGTAAAACTCCAAATTCTTTTAGTTCTGCATCTACAGAACCCCAGCACAAGGTAGGCAAGCACAGGTACTAATGCATGAGGCAATCTTTAATGAAGCCATTAATGCTTCTCATTAATAGTCCTCTTTTAAAAATAAAAATTTTGCAAGGCAGCTTGCAAAAACAAAACAATAAAATAAAAATCATTCTATACAGTAGATTTTCCAAGAAAGTTGAACTATTGTGGTTCCAATACATATGCCCAAGGGAAGCATTTTTGGAAGCAGGTATACTCAAGTTGAAAAGAATTCCAACAAAGTGGTCTGCATTTCCACTTGACACAGAAAGTACTTCATCATCCTCTGAAGTGGGTAACTGAAGATGCACCAGCCTTCCTCTGTAGCTTGGGAGCAGACAGGGACCCTGTCTACTTTGCCACAACACAAGGACATCCTCCCATTCACTCCAAAGATTAAACTCAGGGCCAGAGAAGACAGCTGGAGACAGCTGTTTTGGCAGTAAGACGCTGAAACATTCAGCTTTACATCATTGGGTAAATGAAACCTTAATGGGATGCAGTGTAAACGTAGGGGCTAATATTATAACCCTAGGCCCATTTATCTGGGAATAAGGCCCAATGTACATAATGGGACTTGCTTTCAAGTAATACAGGACTGTGCTGTAATGGGGGAGAAAAAGCTTGGTAAATACAAATTTTAATGTAACTATCAAGGCAAAGCAAACTGTGTGGACCCCTGCCAAAATTGCTTCTACTTTGAGAACGTAATGCTGGATCAAACTAAAGGCCTATCTAGTCCTGCATACTGTTTTCTACAGTGATTACATATATGCTTCTAAGATGCTCACAAGCAGATATGAGGGCAACCACCATCTCCTGCTATTATTCTCCAGCAACAAGCATTCAGAAGCATGTTGCCTCTGAACCTGAAGGTAAGATAAAGGCATCATGATTAGTAGCCCTACCCTTATTTGTCTAAACCTTAAGTTGGTGGATAACATCACTTCCTGTGGTAGTAAATTCCATGTTTTGTCTATCTGCTGCCTGAAGAAGTACTCCTGTTCATATGTGCCAATTCTACTATTCAGCATCATTGGATAATCCCAGTTTGTAGTTTTATGAGACAGTAATAAAACTTCCATTCCTATTCGCCATATCATTCATAATTTATAAGCTTTCATCCATCCTCAGCTTACTAACCTAACATGTCCCAAACACTGTAGCTTCTCCTCACAGATCATTTGATTTCCTTTTTCTGCACCTTTTTCATCTCAAAAATACACTTTCTGAAATGCAGCTATCAAAACTATACAGTTTTCCAAGTGTGGTGACACCATTGCTTTCTATAAAGGCATTACAATATTAACAGTTTTATTTTTGACCAAATTGTGTGCAAGGCAACTGACACTAATAATACAAATACAATAATAAAATGCAGAAAACAAAAACAAAGCAGGTACAACATGAACAAAAGCAATTGTTAAAACCAACTGCATCTTATTTACAAGTCAGCTTTATGAGCCAAAGGCCTACTAAACAAAAATGTATTTTGCCTGCCAGCACAGTGCATCAGAGATCAGATTAACTGGATCTTCTTTGACAAGATGTTCCAAAGCCTACTACCAATTTTTTTCAGATTTTTAAAGAATGCTGAATGCACTGTTATTTACAGGGGCTTGAAGGCATAAAGAAAGAAATAGAACACAGGTAATATTAATAAAAGGACACTCCAAGGATACATGTCTTGACAATCAGAAGTGCTGTTTAAGATTTTTTGTAACTTTCTAAGCCCTCAGGTTGGAAGGTGTCCAATAAGCTACTGGGGAAGAGCAGAGGGATAGTACTAGTAGCGCCAGAAAGAATGAAGCGACTGGGTCAATTCCGAAAGGACACTCAGTTGCTGATGTATCTGGTGGTGAAAGGAAAGTCCGATGCTGCAAAGATCTATACTCCATAGGAACCTGCAATGTAAGATCCATGAATCAAGGCAAGCTGGACATGGTCAAACAAGAGATGACAAGACTGAACATCGACATCTTAGGAATCAGTGAACTAAAATGGACAGGAATGGGTGAATTTAAATCAGATCACCATCAGGTATACTACTGTGGGCAAGAATCCCTCAGAAGAAATGGAGTAGCCTTCATAATCAATAAAAGAGTAGGAAAAGCAGTACTGGGATACAATCTCCAAAATGACAGAATGATCTCAGTTCGAATTCAAGGCAAACCATTCAACATCGCAATACTCCAAGTCCATGCCCCAACCACTGGTGCTGAAGAGGCTGAAGTTGACCGGTTCTATGAAGGCCTACAACACCTTCTAGAATTAACACCCCAAACTGATCTCCTTATCATCATGGGGGATTGGAATGCTCAAGTAGGAAGCCAAAAGATAACCGGAATAACAGGCAAGTTTGGCCTTGGAGTACAAAATGAAGCAGGGCACAGGCTGGTAGAATTTTGTCAAGAGAATACAATGGTCATAGCAAACACTCTTTTCCAACAACCCAAGAGATGACTCTACACATGGACATCACCAGACGGTCAACACAGAAATCAGATTGACTATGTGCTCTGCAGCCAAAGATGGAGAAGCCCTATACAGTCAGTAAAAACTAGACCAGGAGCTGACTGTGGCTCAGATCATGAGCTTCTGGTTGCAAAATTTAGGCTTAAGTTGAAGAAAGTAGGGAAAAGCATTAGGCCACTCAGGTATGACCTAAATCATATCCCTGATGAATACACAGTAGAAGTGAAAAATAGATTTAAGGAATTAGATCTGATAGACAGAGTGCCTGAAGAACTATGGACGGAGGTTCGCAACATTGTACAAGAGGCAGCAACTAAAACCATCCTAAAGAAAAAGAAATGCAAGAAAGCAAAATGGCTGTCTGAGGAAGCTTTACAAATAGCTGAGGAAAGAAGGGAAGCGAAAGGCAAGGAAGAAAAAGAAAGATACACCCAATTGAATGCAGAATTCCAGAGAATAGCTAGAAGAGATAAGAATGCCTTCTTAAATGAACAGTGCAAAGAAATAGAAGAAAACAATAGAATAGGGAGGACCAGAGATCTCTTCAAGAAAATTGGAGATATGAAGGGAACATTTCATGCAAAGATGGGCATGATAAAGGCCCAAAATGGCAGGGACCTAACAGAGGCAGAAGAGATTAAGAAGAGGTGGCAAGATTACACAGAAGAACTATACAAGAAAGAGCTTAACGTCCCTGATAACCACGATGGGGTGGTCACTGACCTCAAGCCAGACATCCTGGAATGTGAAGTCAAATGGGTCTTAGGAAGTCTGAGCAACAACAAAGCTAGTGGAGGCGACAGGATTCCAGCTGAGCTATTCAAAATCCTAAAAGACTATGCAGTTAAAGTGCTACACTCAATATGCCAGCAAATTTGGAAAACTCAACAGGCCACAGGATTGGAAAAGGTCAGTTTACATTCCCATCCCAAAGAAAAGCAATGCCAGAGAATGTTCAAACTACCGCACTATTGCACTCATTTCACATGCTAGCAAAGTTATGCTCAAAATCCTACAAGCTAGGCTCCAGCAGTATGTGGACCGAGAACTACCAGAAGTACAGGCAGGATTTCGAAGAGGGAGAG